AGTCGTTGAAGTTACCACATGGCTTCCATTTATATAATCAATCCATGGCGTCAGCGAGAGGTACATGTATTTCGTAGCAAACGGGTCTTTTGAAACGTCTTATTTATAGGAACTTTATGACTAAACAATGCTGAAGCCTGGTCGTTGAAGTCGTTGAAGTTGCCATATGGCTTCCATTTATATAATCAATCCACGGCGTCAGCGAGAGGTATTTCGTAGCAAACGGGTCATTTGAAACGTCTTATTTATGGGAACTTTATGACTAAACAACGGTGAAGCCTTTCCTGATTAACAGAGACACGAAACAAGGTTGAGCGGTGAAGTAAATGATGAAAGTTTCTGAGGAGGAGTAAGAATTTCAATGGATAAAATGTGGAAATTAGGCAACAGTTCCACATATCAGCTCTTTGTTTTATTATTAAACCTGGTTTTCACGAGTGCATGATCAAAAGCATAAGTAAGTAAAAACACAAGAACATAAGCATAAGCGCAAGCCAGGGCCGTAGCCAATAAAAAAAAAAATATGACTGAAACAATGTCCATGGTTAATTTCTCTTCCTAGGTATTTACCAGTGTTTTACTTTCCTCCAAAAAAAAAAAAAAAAAAAANTAATCAAAAGCATAAGTAAGTAAAAACACCAGAACATAAGCATACGCGCAAGCCAGGGCCGTAGCCAATAAAAAAAATATATGACTGAGGCAATGTCCATGGTTAATTTCTCTTCCTAGGTATTTACCAGTGTTTTACTTTCCTCCAAAAAAAAAAAATCCAAAACGAAAAACATGACTGAGTCAAGTGCCTTGGTTTTCTTCGGCTTGTGCCGTGGTTATGTCGCAGTGAGGACGCGGGTGCTAAACGTCCTAAATGCAAGCGACAGAAGCATAAGCATAGACACAAGGTCGTCGACCAATCATAACTCACTTTGACCGAGACTTGTGCCAAGATATTGCAAACCACAAGACGGACTCCGCCATATTGTTTAACAATTGAGGAGGGCTCATGTCTATTCTTGTCCCTAGAGCCACATGTTTCTTTGACGAGATGGAGCTGGTATCTAAACTCCCAGTCATTCGTGACGCTTCTCGTTCAGCTCTCGTTCCTGCTTGTGCGCTAGTGAAAACCAACCGTACCTAAACCTGCCTTTAGTCTTCATGTTTTCTTTATAATGCACTACAGCTAGGGTATTGCTGGCTTTTTTGTTTTCTTTCAAAGATTACACCTAAGTAAGGTCTACATTGATGAAAACCTGTACGAAATAATGGAGAGAACAATTCAATCGCATGAAAACTCGAACATTAAATTCAGAAACAATTTAATTGTCGTTTAATCTTATGGCGAATAGAAACAATCAATGACACTGATCCTTTATTTCATTTGTTTTTCTCTTTTCTTTAAGCTGACGGTGTTGAAATGTCGCCAACGTCAAGGTGAACAATGCTAACAATTGTTATTTACTCCAGTTATTCGACGCTTTGTACGACATGATTTTTGCAGTTGTGACTGGCTAGTTTCGATGTTTGCATTTGTTGTGACTGGACACAAGCGTCCTTAGGCCACTTCTTTACACATTCGTCTGGTCATAGAGGGTCTCGAATCTTTGCAGAATGACCCTAACTACGGTTATGGAGACCTGTAAGCCAGGGTAGCACCTTTGTCCAATTTTGCTGCTCAATATGTTCAGTAGAGAAATCTGCAGCAATTAGTGATTTGAAGGCATTGTGCGATATTTCTGCGAGAATAAAGTACTTGGTAGCTTGCACTTAGAAACTCAAGGTCACTGGCAATAAATTTTAGCCAAAGGAGATTCAATGAACGATTTATACCAAATGTTTTAACTATATTTTTACAAAGGAGGGTGGCAATCAATGGCCAAACGGAATACCAAATTGAAGAAACCTCGACTGAGTAAATTATAAGGGCGAGAAGCGATCGTGTCTGAACAAATTCAACTTCAGTTAAACTGTAGTAAAATGAGGGAAAACTTGGTATTATTATCGAGCTGGATAATATTGCAGGGTACTCGCAAGTCTTTCCTCTACTATTGTGACTAATTGCTCTTTTTGTTATTGTTCAGTTATGTCGTAGGTGGCCCAAGTGCGTCCCGTTCGACGGATAGGCGAAGCTATGGCATGGAGTCTGTCGAAGATGATCCCTTCATTTTAGCTGCATCCACACATTCTCTGAAATCGATTGGCGATAGCAAGAAAACGAACAATGCCAATGTTAACTATGGTTACTCGTCAGAAGGTAGGGAGATGTGCTGTTTGCACGTGAATCCCAATCAAAGATGGTGCCTAATGTTATCACTTCTTGTCTACGATTAGACCAACCGACCGCATTTGTCCATGGTCCACACTCCTACAGACCCTATAGAAATGGTCTAACCATAACCATAAGTGTTTAAGGGCATTCCGTTGCACGATGAGACTCGACGGTATCAGTTTATGGGGAAAGTCACGATAATTTCTCAAGTTCTTCAAATTCAAAGTTATCTTACATTGCGTTACAGGACAGTCCTCTTTTATGGCCATGCCATCATTGACCATAGTTCTCGACCAGTGAGCGCGCAAGCATTATGTCAGTTATCTTAAAATCGTTTGTACTTGTACATAGACTATTAGAATTCGATTTGCGCTTAATCTGATTGTATTTTCCCTGTTAGATTCTGTCCGACCTCAGCCTGAAATGCTACTTAAGCCAGGGTCACGTGTCTCAAGCAACAAGCCTACTGCACAGAGCACGGGAGAGGTCGTTGCAAATTCGTCATACCTCGTTAGAGGACCACAGAGAGACTTGAACACACTACCCCTGCCTCAAGAACCACCATCTTTTGAGCAAGCCATGCTTCAGTCGGAAACAAATGGAAACCTTACAGAGCCTGGTAAGGGAAGATATGCAGGCCGCAGACCAAAACCCTCACAGGCTACCAGTGGCTCAATCAGAGGGCTCCTTGATCCAACGGTAATTTATGCCACGCCAGAAAAGAAGAATAAATCCAGTAAGCCTTCTGCGGAACTCCATGGACTAGCACCAGGTAAGATAGCTTGATATGTCAAACTTAGAGGGCCCGTATAATGTTGCTGAAAATAAAACACCTTTGTATTCTCTACGGTATCTGCCGGGGTAACATTTGTCTATCATTCCCCTTCCAAGACACCCTTACCCAAAAGAACATAATTTATTACAGATCACCCTTAGGATGTTCACTAAGACTGATAAGACCAATAATATGTAAATAGTCAACTTAATCCTTTTTGAGAGTCGTGACTAACGTATCAAAATAAGCATATTTTGACTTTTGATTTAGTCGTATTGATAGTACT